GTGTCAGTGATGGTGGTGCTTCAGCTCTTGGGAAACTGTGGCTCAGGGGCTGTGGCTCAGTGCAGCATGCTCTTCTCAGCGTTGTGGTTGCTTACTGGGAGATCTTGATGCTCCACTGCATTGACTGTACTGTTTCCCAGATCAGCTTCTGATCGTTAATACCAGAATCTTTAATCCCTAAGTACTCTGGTCCGTGGCCAGCGAAGGGAGAAGTAAACAGAGAACTGTTGAAATACCACTGAATATAAATGATTATTTCTTCAAATTTTCTACTTGTTTTTTCAAACTAGACAATCTGGCCACGCCAGCATATGCTTCTATCACTGTAAATTCAAAATCTACAGTAAGCTTTGTAGTCTAGTTGTGTTTAAACTCCTCTGTAGAGGATGTTCCCTCTGTCTGTTCCATGAAGCACGCTGTGTTCTTAGCATTGTACTCATCATGAAGAGCAGTGCAGAGGCAGTTCAACGTTTCAGCAGTTGCAAATAAGGGAGGATAGAAGCGACGGAGTGGCCTGGCGGTAGGGGGTCACCACTGCTGTCATGGGAGCAAATCCCTGCTCTGCTGGGCTGCAGGGACACTGACAGCAGGGTTCTAGGTGGCTCTCTGTAGCTTATCTCTTTCCTGTCACTCTTCTTGCACATGCTGTGGGTTACTCATGGGGTGTTGGCTGCTGTTCCTCTGCTTGGCCTTGCCCAAGGGAGAAAGAAGAAGTAGACTCTTTAGTAGGATCTGTTGTGCTAGGACAAGGGGAAATGATTTCAAACTAAAAGAGGAAAAATATAGATTGGATATAAGGAAGAATTTTTTTAAAATAAGGGAAATGAGGCACTGGCACAGGTTGCCTGGAGGGGTGGTGGAAGCCTCATCCTGGAGACACCTAAGGTCAGGATGGATGGGGCTCTGAGCACCTGATGGAGCTGTAGGTGTCCCTGTTCATTGCGGGGGAGTTGGACCACATGGCCCTTCCAACTTGAAAAAGTCTATGATCTTACAGATGTAACAGAAATCTGTCTGGCTGTGATGTGTTGGCTTGTGTCTTCTCTCCGCTGTGAGCCATGGTGTAGGATAAATGGCATGCGGGCAGTTGTGCTGGGTTTTGTGTAAATGGAAACGGTGGCATGGTGAGGATAGCAATTTGCAGAGGTGCAGTAAGGACTGTAATTTCCAAACAAATATTAGCACACATTGCATAAAGAAGAGCTGGCACAACACTGAAAGCTAAAGTCAAGCTGTGAGGAAGGCTTTAGGATGTCCGCAGGTGGACATTTAATGTGAGAGGAGCTGCTTGATGTTACTGCTCCTGTTTCAGGAAGAAATGGTCCTTCACTAATTGGCATAAATTGTTTTAAGATAAATGTGGATGGGAATCTTGTGCATCTCTTGTGTCCCTCCATGATGGAATGAAAAGAAAAAATGAAGGTGTGATTCACACTGATCTTTGAGAAACACAGCAAAACACCTCTTGCTTACAGATGTTGGAAGAGTCATTTGTAGAATTACATGGTGAAGAGTGACTGTATCTTGCTAAGTTTAGTACCTGGTTCATTCCAGCTCAGAAACAGTGAGGATGTGAAAAATGGAGGCTCACAAAGTAATTTGACTTCAGCTGGGGATGGGTGGCTGAGCTCCCCTGCCAGTCGAGTGTATGTCTGATGTGTTCTCTCAGCTGTCCTGGAGCATTTACACCACAGCTGTTAGACCATGAAAATCCTCTTGGGGCACACAAGTAGGGTTCCTTGTGGGTTTAGGGGTTTCCCATCACTACAATATATAGAAGTATACAGCCTATAGTCATTCCACTCTGCCTGAGAGAAAGTGAGATGGAGATGATTCACCCTATGCAGAATGGAGAACTGAACATCACTGAAGTTTTAACCATTCTTTTCTACCTGGTAGAGTGCAGTTGGTATTGAGTGCAATCCCTGCAGCTGATAGGTGCAAGATAAATACATCCCCAAGAAGGAATAAGTTTGTATATTTGGTAACATTTCTTCTCAGAAGGAGTGGTGAGGTGTTGGAATGGCTGCCCAGGGAGGTGGTGCAGTCACCACCTCTGGAGGTGTTCAAGAACTGTGTGGATGTGGTACTGAGGGACATGGTCAGTGGGCATGGAGGGAATGGGCTGGTGGTTGGATGAGATGATCTTAGAGATCTTTTCCAACCTTAATGATTCCATGATTCTAAGCCACCGAGAACAGATTCTTGTCCAGAGATCTCTGACTCATTATTATTTAACCATAGAAACTGCTTTCGTTAATGAAGGAGGTTAAATGATTTTTTTATGGCATCCAAGGAAGGACAATAAATAATACTGAGTTGCCTATGAACGATTTGGGATGGGGAGAAAAAGCAGGCAACGATATCATAGGTGTGCTACTGGGCACCTGGGCCAGAGAAGAAGTGATGGCAATGAGGTTGGAGCTGTGGCTCTTGCAGTGAGACTGGATGCCAGAGTGGAGCATAGCTTTTGAAGAAGGGATGTCTGAATACTCCAACAAGTTTTGTTCTTTTAATTAGTGCTAAGTTTGCATTCTTATTTATATTCTTATTTATTGCAAGTGCAAAGATAGAGCAAAGAAATCTTCAACTCTTCAACTCTTCAACAGGCTGCCCAGGGAGGTGGTGGAGTCTCCTTCTCTGGAGATGTTCAAGACTTGCCTGGATGCCTACCTGTGCGACCTGTTGTAGGGAACCTGCTTTGGCAGGAGGGTTGGACTCGATGATCTCTGGAGGTCCCTTCCAACCCCTACAATTCTGTGATTCTGTGATTCTGTAACTCTTGTTTCACAAATGCTGACAACGGCTGAAAGGAATTAATATTATTTATTTTTCTTTTGAAAAAAATGTTTTTCCTATTATATTTAGAGCAAATAAAATTTGCAGGTAAGTTTGTGAGAAGGGGTAATCTTGATCTGTGATTAAAAAGAACTGCTGAATAAGAACACTTTCTTATCTCTGGATACAGAATCAGAAGAGGGCAGTGGTGACAGCTGCTGCGCGTCCGGAAGAACCCCATGTTAAGGTGCAGTGAGAGACAACACCTTGCTTTTACAGGAGAGAAATGCTTGGATATTGGATGGGAATAGGGGCTTCCCAGTGTCATGAGACAGTGGGATCAGGGGAATGTCTTTGCAAACCAGCTGACTTGAGGTGCACGTACACTATGCCTGCACAAGGTGGGAATGCAACCTGTGTGTGCTCCAGAGCCAGGTTTCAGCTGTTGTGAAAGCAATGCTGTGGACAGCAGGTCTAAAATTAATCTTTCATTTTGCATTTTGACTCAAAAAGCTCTCCTTGAACAGCTCCCTGCAAAGATGAACCCTGCATTTAACTGCCACTGAGTTTTTAAATTGTTTTTTTTCCAAATGGGGTAGTCAAGCTCCCAAAGCACAGAGCTGCATCTGAGACGTTACCCATAGAAACTAAGCTCCAGTTTTGGTTAAAATAGCACAATAACCGCTTGTTTTCTGGTCAGTCGAATGATACAGCAGATCAGGACTTTCATCCTTATTCCTGCAGAAAAAGGAAATAGGCGGTAGAGAATGGCTGTTTACTATGATGTGCATGATTAATACCATAAATCTTTCATGTGGGGCTGCCGGGTGAAATGAACGAGTGTTATCACAACAAATTGGAAGGAGCGGGTGGCTGCATGCTCATGTTTGGTAATCAGGCCTGAAACGCAAAGTAAAAGGAGAAATTAGCCGAAGGTAACGGTGGTTATCAAAGCTCTCTGTGCCATTTGCTAAGCCTTGGCAGAGCTGACGTGCTGCTTTTTGCAGATCACAATGAGCATATGTACCTACTTGTGGCTGATGGTAGTTCCAAGTGGCCAGCAGCAGTGCGTGTGCTACTTGACAAACAGTTCTGCTTCTCAGATTATTGTGGAGACATCCCCAAGTATGTTTGCAGCATATGGCTTGCTTAAGGAGATCGCTTTGGATAAGAGACACCCGATAAGACACAGCAGATCAGCTGTGTATCGCTCGGCTCCCGGGGGTTAGCAGGGTGTGCAGTACAGGCACAGAAAAGAACAGTGGAGGGAAATGGGGAGCCCTGCAATACAGCATTGCAGTCTTCCTTGTGTTGCGTGGGTCAGCAGCACCCAGAGACGTGTGGGAAAGCTCCAGCTCAGCTAACTGTAAATGGTGTTTTAATTTAGGAATTGCACTTGATTATTTCAGGGCAAGTTTAGAAGAAGCGAGTGAGGAGGTGGGGGAAGGAAACCTCAGTGCGAGCTCCTTGCTGGTTAGGCCTAAATAAAAGCTTTGCAGAAAGAGGAAGCAGAGGAAGGTGCTAAAAAGTATTATGATCTGCTTGAACATATAGACAGGAAAATGAGAAGGAAATGTGTCTAGCTATTGCTAGATTTAAAAAGAGAGAAAAGAAATTGATGCTGTTGACGGTGTGTAAATTCTAGGAGTGAGCATATTTCTCTCTTTCATTGCCCTCCTGGTAATACCAGTGACATTGTTGCTGTTGGAAATGAGGGATTGAAGAGTGAGTGAGAAGCACAGTCCTCGACAGGTGGGAACCGTGTTGGAATAGAATCATACATCTCCCAGAGGGCGAGAGCTGGAGCTGTAGGGCCATGGAAAGCAGGATGCTCTTAGCACCCCTTTGCAAGAAACAGGGGAATCTGAAGCACTCCTTGCATGTATATTCCTATACCATTTTTTTCAAGTTTCATGAGGAAGAATTGTTTTTGCCTGTAGAAAACAGTTGTAGTAACACTGAGGCTGGAGCCCAAATCCCAGGATGCAATGGCTTGTGATTAAGAGGCTGTCTTGCTGAACTAACATTTTGGATTTTTTTTTTTTTTCTTTACCATGTTGACTGATCTAGTTTAAGACATTCTAATTAGTTGTTGCAGTATATTTGGCTGATTGCATTTTTGTTGATACAAGGTGCAGTGGAAATGCTAAGTCACAGCTTGAACCAGTGATTGAGCACCTGGTGGGAAGGCAGGACCAACGGGGGGAGCTCAGGTGCATGCAATGTACCTGAGTGACCAGAAGGGGTTAAACCAGGATACTCCCCTTCCCAGACCTCATTTAAGAGTTGGCTGCGAAGATAAGGGTATTTTGCTGGAGATCCTTGTGTACCTGTGTGAAGAAGGTAAGTACCTTCTTTCCTTTATTTCTGTGGCTGTTGTAGTTGAGCAAATCCTCACTTGCTGCAGCCTTGGGCCTTGCTGCTCTCTTGTCTTTGCTGCGCTTTCCATTGTGTTAAGCAAGGGCTTATTTTTGGATGTTTTGTCACACCTTCTTGCCTTACTGGTATTGATGGCTTTCTACCCATTAGCCCAGAAGGAAATAATGCAGCCAAGAGAACAAGCAGGCAGCCACTGTGCCTAAGCAGGAGTCTGAGGGACTGATGGCTAAGCTTACTCCAGTCTCTGTCACTGCTTGGATGGGAGGAATGGTTGTGTTTCTTCAGAGCTCCTCTATGAATGCAAAAGTTAGAAGGAAAAATAAAATCCTGGAGGAGCTACTGATATCTATCCTGGCTATGGTTTTTGGTTCTGCTGTACTACTCATGTAGTTGGTATTTCAGTTCTTAGTGAAAGGAGCTGAATGTAGATGTGCTGTTGCTCTGGTGAAAATGCTGGCCTGAAATGATGCACATAATAACTTGTCTTTGTCAGTCTTTGTGGGGGATTTTTTTGTTGTCTTTTTCCAAGTTTATTTCAAGATTTTGCTAGAAGACAAGTATGTTAAAATAAATACAACAAACATTAAAACAAAACACAAGATGTCATGTCTGTTAGTTTCTCCCCATGTGAATGGGAGGTGGTGCCATGTGTTTGCCTCAGATGTCTTGAAGGTGATTTCAGTGGAGCCACAGAGAAGCAATTTCAGTTTCTATGCAGCATCTTATCTTAGTAGTTCAGAAGTTTCTAGGGATATGACTTTATTTTTTATTTTTGCTTTCCCATCAGCATTACGTTTTTAATTGAGTTTTTTGCAGTCACGTGGCGGCTTCCACTTGGATGCATTGGTGAGCATCACTTCTTTGATGGCTGGCTGCTGTGGTTACCAGGCTGCTTCCACTCCCAAGTAGCACTGAGCTACTTACAGCAAGGTGCTGCTGGAAAGCCTATGTGTGAATCTACTTTGTAAAGCAGTAAGATGCTTGCTTTGTGCAAATGGAGTGCAATGCCTCAGGACCTGGGCTAACTGCATGCAATGCTTCTGCAGAGCCAAGCTCTATAGTCAGGATTGTCTGGATCTGATGGTTTCTCTAGAGGAATTTCTTGTTTCTCTGGTCTTGAAAAGTGTCTGGACAGTTTGATTTCAAAACCCACTACTCTGAAGGGCTTGGATTGTGCTTATGGTTACTCCAGAGTGCACTAACTCTTATACTTGACCTGTAGCTCCACTCTCAGTGAGTTATGCCTCTGCTTTCATTGATTGATATTGGAATGATGGGAAAAAACAATCTTTCCTACTCCCGAAGTTTTTACTGTTTCCTATAGTAGCTGATATTAAAGTATCCTTTCCTACAGGCTGCAGACTTAGCACTCTTGTGACTTGCTGTCTCTGAGTGAATTGAGAGCAGCCGGTAAGAGTAGATTTTTCTACCCTTCGCTCTGGGTAAGGAGGAATTTTTCCTTTCCGTGGCTTAATTGCATTATACTTGGCTGAGACCATTTTGCTTGTCTTTGTCACCTGTGTTTTTACCTAGCTCTTCTGCTGGCCTTGGAAAGTGCATCTAAAAGAAAGAGACATAAATAGAAGTAGTGTTCAGGATATCATTCAGCTTTGGAGATGTGTGCCTCGTAGTGGGGAGTCTGTGTTCCTTTGTTCCTGCCGTCTTTCCCTCTGCCTTCAGGCTTTCCTTGGTTCCTGGTGTTCCACCTTCAGAATCCTAGCTGTATTCACTTTGCCTAAAATATGTGTTTGAATAGTAAAAGCTATATTGAAAGGACACATTATCAGCTTAGTTTAAATACACATGTTGGCTCTGTGAGAGAGTGCTTTGCAAAGAAAGTCTAACTGTATGCTTTTGCACATAAAATGAGCGTGCAATTAAAAGATCTTCAACAGAAGAAAGCCCTTTTCTCCTGCTTCCTGGAATGCAAATGCTGGCATGCTTCTGCATTAGGATTTGTTGCAAGGGAAAACCAAACAGCAGTGAAATCATGCTGGCATTGCCTTTATACAGAGCCAAAGGACCAATGGCAAATAGCAGCTGGAAGCCTGGTTTGATCTTTCTATATGATTAAGTTGCAGGTATGGTGCTGGTGAGAAGGTACTTTCCTGAACTCCTTTCACAAAGGATTTGAGCATTTTTGAATAAACTGTTTTCTATCTCTGGTGTTTATGGCAGTCCTTCAGGACTGGCACTCTGTGGCTTGCTGTGGGATAGTGTTTTCAGGAAGGCATGAGGCTGCTTGGCGTTGTAGGTTCTTCCCCTGCCTCTGCTTCTTTCTTTAGTCTTTATTTTCAGAACACTTTGTGTGCTGTGGAAGCTGCCTCCAGGCCTCTGAAGTTGCTGTGGGTCCACGCTGCTTCTACCAACTGTATACATCATATTTGTTACTCTAGGAGAAATATCTGAAAAGAATCCAGGCATAATGTGTTTTGGTTCTGCAGCTGAATATTTCAGAGAAGATGGACTTTTTTCCGCTGTGTTGTCAGTTTTTCCCCTTTCTTTCCTGTTAATCTCACTATGATTATTCATACATGTTTGAAATTAAATGAATCATCCCACTGTGGTGAGAACCTTACCTGGAGGTCAGCAGCGAGCTGGGATTCAAGGGCCGGTTCCTGGGTATCTCGGGGCTATGTGAGACCTGACTGTCGGATCAGATGATCTTAGTGGTCTTTTCCAACCTTAATGATTCTGTAATTCTACTATGTAAAGTGAGGCAGGATTGACAGCCTCCAAGGCTGCTTCTGTAGCCCCACTAATGTTCTCTGCTCTTGCGTTTTCTCTTCTGGTCTGAATAGTTGTCACTGTTTCCATTTTCGGAGCAAAAGTGAAAGAGTGACTTTTTGGCTGTTTTGTTTTTCCTGTCAAGTTGCTTTTCAGATTCCTGGTGCTTCCTCACTCTGGTTTCCTTCCTGTTTAGAGACATCTGATGTCTCATGAAGCTAACATCTTCATCTTCTGTGTAGCTTCTTGCATGTGGAATCTGTCCTTAACATCTTTAACTTCCACAAAACAAAGGCTGAGGAAGACCTGTCTTCTCCTCTTGCATTCTTATCCCAAACTTGCATTTTGAATGTGCCTTTCAGCTCTTCAACAGGCTTGGCTAAATGGGCATCTCTGCCTTCTCCGGTTTCATGAGTGGTTCCTGGGGAGGCAGATAGATTCCCAGATAATTTGTACATCTTCCCATCACTCTCTAGGAAAAAATCTAGTTCTACATGTTCCACTGCTTGTGTATTCTGGGTTAGTGCATCTCCTGGAGTGATACCCTTTCCGGTGTGAGTACCAGTTGGGCCAAACTGCTCATCAGCCTAGTGCAGACACTGAAAGGAAGCCAAAAAACGCTACTTCTCCATGTTCCAGGATAGAATCCCTTGCCAAGATGGAAAGAGAATGCTGTACTCTCATGGTACTCCTGTGCTTAGAGCACACGTCACTGCTGGATCAGTGTTTTGTTGTTTCCTCATTAGTGTAGAATTACCATACTTCTACAACATCTGGAAATGGTTAGGCTGAATAGAGATGAGTTCAGCCTCCTTTACATCAAAGATGAGGGCGACATGCAATTCTTTTCTAGTTAAATTGGAAGGAAAGAAAGGTCACCGTACAGTCTCTCAGGAGCAGGTCTCTTTCTAGAGCTGATCTATTCATCCTCTCCAGTACTTGGTGGCTCTTCTCAAGGAGTATGCATGTCCACAGACTCTACAGGGATGTGTCTTAGGTGAGCAGTATGGTTGTACATATTGTAACAAATCCATTGTTCATCCATCTTGGGAGAACTGCTTTCATATCTCTGATAATCTGTTAGATTCCCTTGGAATTCCTGGCTGTGGGAAGTTGTGACATTTTGTGTTGTTCTGGGAGCTCTGTGGCCACTGCCCAAGAAACATGAAATTTGTTTTTTATGGTAGTCAAATGGAAGCAGTAAAGATCAGCACAATATGCAGGAGTGAGAAGAAAATCCAAATTCTTTTTTAAAGGAAAAATGATAACTTAAAGATCTGCTGGTTGGAAGGGACCTCTAGAGTAATCTAGTCCAGCTGTCTGCTGCAAGCAGGGCTAAGCCTGAGGTTAGATCCAACTATAAAATTGAGACAGGTTGCTTGGGTTGTTTTCCAACTAAATTTTGAGCATATCTAAGGATAGGGGTTCCATGGGCTCTTTGTTCCCCTCTGCTGATGTTTGACAAACCAGAGGATGAAGGTTTTTTTTATGGCTAATGGGAGTTTCCTGTGTTTCTAAAGTGCTTTGATTAACCTTGCTGTAATTAGCACAGCACAGTTCTGGTGTAGCCTGTCACAAAGACAAACAGAGAAATGGGAGATGCACTGGTAGACATCTCTACACTTTCCATTTTATATGCAGCATACTCATAGGATCATTAATGTTGGAAAGTTCAACTAGGTGATCTAGAGATCCTTATCTCCACCATGCCCTCTAACCATCTCCCTCAGTGCCACGTCCATGTGGTTCTTGGAGTCATCATGACTCCTCCACCTCCCTGGGTGGCCTGTTCCAATGCCTCACCACTCTCTCTGAGAAGCTTTTCCTAATATCCAAGCTGATCTCCAGTAATGGCCATAATTAGTATTTTTCTGTGAAAACAACAAAAAAAGATTAAACAAGCATGGAATTAGAGATTGTGCAAAATATCAGTAAACCTGCTGCCCGCATACGACAGGGAAAAAATCCTTTGTGTGTTTATAATTAGATGTGTTCCTATGTAATAGGAATATTATATATGTGTATTATACACACAAACACATTCTGCAGCGAGTTGATTGAGGTACCCTGTTCCAGTTTTCTTGATAGGAAAGCAGGGAGTGTCCAGCAGGTGTCCTGCATTGTGCGACTTGCCAGCGTGAGCTGGTTGCATCCCCGGGGCATAGCAACAAATGACTGGGTAGGAAGAAAGACGTGTGGTTTCTCAGAATGCTTTGTAAAGGGAACTTCAGGTCCTG